ATGGTCACGTAGGCGTCATATCGAGCTTTGAGCTGGTGAGCGACGGCGTTCATGTGTTCACCCCGGCTGCACGCACCGAAATTGCCGCGACGGATCCGCGCTGTGGCTGTGAGGCCCCCGGCGGAGGCGAAGGCGACTCCCGCCGGACCACAAACTCCAGAGTCGAAAGTAGCGTCTCCGTGCGCTCGTCGAGGCGTGGCGCCGTTTACGCAGCGATGGGCCCCGAATACATCGACTTGACGATGATGAGCGCGACCGCTGCGCCTAGACCGCGCGATTGTTGGGGAGGACCAGAGGGTGCAGCGCACGTGGGAAGGGTTTGGGGGGGGTTACTCCTCTGACGCCGCCGTCGTCTCCCGCGCTCAGGTGCGCTTCGCCTTGACGAGCGCAATGCCCTCGTCATTGTCGTCGACAGCGCAAGCATCGACTACTGTCGCGCGCGGCGAACAGCGCTGCGGCGGCCCGGCTGGTGCTGCGCGTCTATCGATATCGAAACGCTCCAAGTGTCCGGTGCGGCGCCCGTGGATATCCCGGAACACGTCACGGCGCGTTGGAGGTCGCTCCGTGAAGACACGGCAAAGATTGCGGGCCTTGGAACCCGTGTGAGCCGTGGCATCGAGGGCCGCGTTCTTGGTATCCTCGCCATGCTCGCGACGCCCTTTCGACAGTCCCTTTTCCTCGACAGTGACACGTTTCCGTGCGTTGACCTCCAGACCCTCTTCAACATGACGGAGGTCCAACGCGGTGCACCGCTAGACGAGGCACCTGGCGTTGGAGGACTCCTCGAATACGTGGATATCCTACTTGCACATGAATATCATACGCTTCGAGGCTTCTTAGGCGACGAGGTAAGAGCTGGCTCCATGCCCAGCTGACACATGTTATCCCGGGTTGCTTGTAGGCCATGGGCATGCCCGACGCCTTTGGGCTTCTCAATGCAGGCGTTGTGTTTTACCATGCGAGGGACCGCGTTTTCAACTTCCTCACTCACTGGCTCGATCTCTATCTCAAGGACCTTCAAAAAAAGATTGGTGATCCAACGGTGGACAAGTCTCTCACAAGATCTTTCCAGCGCCAGCCCGCTATGTACCAAACCTGCGTCGCACTTTCGCACTAAGCGTACCCTGGCCGCAGAAAACGAAGGCGAACGTTACTGAGTAGATATAAGTGTGAATGTTGTGACGCGCGACGACCCACATAGGCAGTGGGCCCTCTATGAAGGTGTGGCAAAGACAGGCCTTCGCGTCCACGCCCTCTCACCGGTCTGGAATGCACGCTCGTGGCAACCCGCTTTCTTCAGGGCGGAAGCAGATTTTTTTTTTAACAACTTCAGTGTGATAGCATGGTTCTTCGGTGATTTTATCGACTTTGAGGACTTGATGATGACCGAAGATCACCCGCCAAAACGATCTAAATTGAGCGGATAAATAAACTATTCGATTTTGCAAGGATTCCCAGTTCACTTCCCAATCTCCATTCAGGCCCTCTCTGGTGTCCCGAAGCGAGATCCAAAAAATTTTAATACCTGCTGCAAGCAGGGACGAAAACTTTCTTCAGATAACTCGATGTGTAAATGATTGTTAGAGACACCGATTATTGACTGATTGTTATCTCCTTTCCGACAAATGATTTTCGGGTCGACCGGAGCTGGGAGATTGAGAAAAATTCGGTTTTTCTGGCTCACTGTTTTTTG